ACCAAGTCCCTGAAAAGCCTGTGATCAAGAATGCCCCCTCTTGCTCAACAGACTGGGCAATTCATGTTGCCTGAGAAGACAACATCTTGTGATAAAGTGACACCTATTATCTAGCGCCTCTGTGCACTGCTTAAAGATAAACAGCAATAAAAACCAGAGTGTATCTATCCTATGAAATTTAGTGGTGGTGTGGCTCTTCATCATACTTGTCCTGTAGGCAGACCCAAGGGCCAATTGTTCTTCCAACAGATTCTTCAAGTTACCAAAGCCATCTGAGTGAAAATGCCAGAGATCAATCAGCAAAACAAGGAGATAACAAGTTGGATATGAATGAGACTTCCTGAATTTGTCCTGAATTTGTTCTTAGCTTTGGTCAAAATGCAGCAATGAGCAGGAAGTTTTAAAAGGGTTGCTTTTCAAACAGTGATATGATAGAATGTGTGGGACTGATGATGTCTCTGATATGCCCCTTCCTAAGTGTTTTGTACATGGATGTGTATATATGTCTGCATATACACACCCATAACCAGAGTGTTTGATTACACTAAAATTGTAAGCATATGAAAACTTGAGATTCTCCTGGCTGAATAGCAAATGTGATTCTTCTTGGTTGATGCTTGATGTGTAACTTCATGGTTACACATCAGTCAGTCAATAGTCATAAAGTATGCACCTCTCCTTGCTGCCAGAAGTGTCTGTAGTCATATTCAGCCTATTACATTTCCTTACTACAAAACATTCTTCTACATTAAAAAAGCCCCAAGAAAACAAACAAAAAATCCACAAACAAACCCCCTTCTTTATTCATGCACTATTCCTAAAAAGGAAAGAAGTTAACAAAAGTTAACTTCTGTTTTATAACAGAAGTTAAAAACCACTGATGACAAGCTGTTATTCTCTTCTTTCACCTACATACAGATTAAAATCTTACATAGCTGATCATCTCATCCATGTTTCCTTGCATTGTTACAGCGTGTCTGTAAGGCACTAAGAGATTCTCCGGCCTCTCAGCAAGCAGCTCACAAAGAAAGAGAGGAGAGGTTGAGGTACAGAAAACCATACAAGAAGGGCTTTCAAATCTTACACAGGTGACTAAACAGTAGTATGGTAGAAATTAGTGGAAAAATACACAGCCTGGGGAGAGAAAGGGACTTATATTTGAGTTCAAGGAGGTCAGTTGGTGAAAGAAGTTATGTGGGAAAAAAGCCTGAAATGCTTATACATAAATGAGATACTTGGATTATGGGAGAGATCAAGTAAAGGACAGTGGGAAGCCAGCATAAACTGGGAGAAAGGTGAGTAAGTATGTTGTAGCAGTGTCTGAGGAGTCAGCTCAGCAAGGCAGAGAGGGAAATTACATTAACAGATTGATGGGAAAGAAAGATCTTGGTGGGGATGTTTTCTATTTATATGTCCATAGCACAGGTGGTATTTCCTGTGATGTGTAAGGAGAGGAGCATATGGAATTTTGAGATGCTTTTGAGATAAAAGCATTAGAGCTTTGCTGAGAGGTGACAGTTCTTTTCTAAAGCTAAAACTCTGAGACTACAGTATAATATATCAAAGATTCTAAACAAAAGTCTATTAAATGTTAGACATTATGTGCAATTGAAGGAGTGATCTGTATTTCCTAAGTAATATTCAATACCTGCCAATCAACTATTTAGTGTGAGATCCATGATATTTTTTAAGCATTTCTGGCACTCCAAACAATGAAGAGCCCTCTGAGAGGAAAATAGTCCAGTGGGGGATTTCTCAGGGTGAGGGAAGTAGTTTTGATAGAGATTGTGAAATAAGCTGGTCACACTTAGCATTATAGTAGAAAGCATGGTTCATGGGAGACTTCTGGCTGTAGAATACAACATCCATTACCCTTTTGTACCTCTGAAAATTCATCACGCTTCTGATAAATCTTCACCATCCTCATATTGATCAGAACTTCTGTATTCCAAACTGAATGAGAACTTCTAACCCAACCAGTTCAGGATCCCACAAGCAAACCCTCTGAATAATTAGATCTAAAATAAAAATTTTGTGACAGAAAGCCAAGAGAAATACCTGCCTGGCACACTCCAGCTGTTGCACCTAATATGCATGCTCCATGCTTAACACTTTCTTATTGATCCTCAATTTGCAAATCTTTCCTGTTGTACTTTTATATTTAATCATCAGCACCTGCCCAGTAATGGCCTGAAGCAGCATGAATGTGGCATGCTGTCCATTTTCAGGATTCAGGTTGGTAAGAATGCTGCTGGAAAGCAATAAATGAGAAGTGGTAATACACAGCAGTAGAAATGTAGTAGCTCCTGCAATACAAATTACTATTTGTATTTAAAAATAAGTCTGAAAGAAACCATTCATTGTGCAGTCTTGTTAGATGCTTCCCACAATAAATCTAGCAATGGAAAAGCCTCTTTGGCAGATATCATCTGCCATAAAATTTAGCTGGCAGTGAATTAAATGTTACTAAGGCCACTCTTTGTTTGTTTTTTTATGGTGTGGGTTTTTTTGTTTGTTTGTTTTGGTTTCTTTTTTTTTTTTTTTCTCTACATTGCTCTCCCTTTACAGCCCACTTTGGCTCATCCTGAATTCCCAGTAATGTCACTGGAAATACCGCAAGAGAACAGGAGAAAGATTGTAGAATCTGACTCCTCAGGGAAGTACCTGGGTGCGTATCTGCAACTATCCCTCAACAGATCTATTTGAAGCAGCTCTGGACTTGGGGTACATCACTGGGACACTGAACATCCCTTCACACTGGCCACTGCTGCTCTCCCAGCAAGGAGCTTGCTGTACCTGAGAACAGCCTGACACCAGTGAGCTCAGTGCTGCCATGACTGTGCTGCTGGTCACTCTCCAGGGTGCCTGTGGTAAAAGGATTTTTCACAGCTACTGAGTATAGAGAGCTCCTATGAGCAGTTAACAAACCTAAATACAGAGAATAACAGAAAATCACATCTCACAAGATTTGACCTTAACAGGCTTAGGTCACACATATCTAACAATTCAATTTTGACCTTAAAACTTTATTTTAAGGGGTATTTAATGGGACCGGGCTTGTGCAGTGTAAAATCTGCCTTTAAAAATATGTGCCAAATCAGTTACCCCTTGGTGTGCAGGAGCACATGGGCCTTGTGGCAGCTGGAGCGGAGGAGAGCAGCAAACAGCTCCTGAAAGAGTCATTCCCCAGTGGAGTGTCAGTCCTTTTACTTTGAAATATCCAAACACACATATCTGTGGAAAGTTGCTGAGTTCCCTTGAGTTAACCAGCTTCTGCTTTTGAAGATGTCTGGTGAAGCTCTTCCTGCCTGTATTCCCCATCCTGCTGAGGATGAGCTCTTTGTGATTTGCTGGAGAAAGGAAGTAACTGCAAGGCACATGGTGGAACCTTTTGGTGGATCTTTTGTAAATCCCTTTCTTTCTTTTTACTACCTGGGAGTGCTAGGTGTTCTACTCATCAAATGCTCTTGATTCCCTGTATGCAAACCTCCTAGAAGACATGGGGTTCTTCTGGAATACATATGAGAATTTGCCTCTGAGTTTCAACCCTATTAGATCCATAAAGTCTACTTATAAGATACAATAAAAGGAGGGTTCTGCATGTCTGAAGATGCAGTATGAAAAATCAAAAAATTGAGAAGCATCAGATCTCACTAGTGGCTCATCTCACGCATACCCAGATACTATCCCAGTTTGTGAAGCATAAAGAAGTCACATCTGCAGAGCTTCTCTGAGGGAAGGAGCGCCTGAAATAAATCCCCGGGTACAGTCTTACCATTTTTGTTCTAAAAAAAGAGGCCAACTTACCTTCAGAGATCAATTTTGTTCTATAGTACAAACTTCTAGGAAGTAGTAAACAGTTTCTGTTTCAAAAAGCTTGCATTCTAAGCTCCTGATCTTTCCATCCGTCTTTCCAATGCCAATGCCTACTTGCTTAGCTTTTTTTTTTTTTTTTTAATCCATGAGATTATACACATGCATAAAGCTATGCCTAAACTTTTGTCATATGAGAGCAAAGATAAAGGTAGGATGTGAGAAAGGAAGTATTTGTTATCCACATCTTGAGGATGAGGAACTGAAGCACAGCAAAAAATGAGATCCTCATCCTCCACAGAGCGTAAATGTGCTTAATTCTTAAGCATGAGTAATTTCCATCAGGTTTGCCGTGCTCTTCTGACTGAAGAGTAAGGTCTGGATTTCAGCTACTCTCTCTGCCACCGATTTTAAGTTGCTTAAGTTCTGGTTCGGCGAACCAGAATTCGAGTTCACAAAAAGCGCGGGACCCGCTTTTCACGGGTTGCGAAAGACTAAGTTGAAGTAAAGAAGGATAATCTGACCCCTTAGCTCGGGAGGTGGATTTCTGCAGCTGACGGGCCGTGACTCTCGGCCGTATCGCTGTGCCTGGTAGCAGCCTGCCGTGCGGGGACATCTAGTCCCGGCACCGCACGAGTCCGGCCCCGGGAGCATCGGTGGGGCGGCGCGGACCCCGGCCCCTCTCCCGCGCTTCCAGCCGTGCGCAGCCGACGGGGCGCCCCGGTAACAGGTAAAGCAGGCAAATGTCCCCCGTCCCGAGGGCCGCCGCTCGCCCGCTTCCGTCCCAAGCACCGGTGGGGAGGGGGCGTGCGCGGGTGCGGAACGGGCGGTGGCCGCGCAGGGCAGAGAGCGGGAGGAGAGCGGGAGCGGCGGGGGAGGAACCGGGCGCGGAGCCGCCGCCCTCGGGGCAGCGCCGGCACATGGAGCGGCGCCAGCCGCCGCCACAGCTGCCACCCGCCCCGGCCCCGGCATAGCAGGTACCGCGGGGCGAGGGGTCCCGGGCGGGCACCAGCTCCAGCCACCGGGGCGAGCTGCGGAGCGCGGGTGAGGAGGGGCCGCGCGGAGCCGGTGCTGCCGTGGAGAAGTTGCCGGGCGCGTTAAGTGGGAGGCTGCGGAGCCCGGTCATCCTATCCCATCCAAACCCATCCCGTCCCTTTCTTCCCCTTCTTCCCGTCCCACACGCTTTTTTTTTTTTTTTTTTTTCTTTTTTTTTTTTTCTTTTTTTTTACTTGAAGACATACAGCTCGGGTGTAATCCAGGCGTTTTAGAGTGCTTCCTTAAAATTTCAGAGATCAGTAGTCATGAAGGGGTATTCATTGATTCAAATGCGGATTGGTCTGTGTTCTCCTCGAGTCAGCTGCAGCACTTAGGTTCAGTCAAAAGCCCGCGTTCCGAGTTCTTGCGCCTGTAGTTTGCAGAGGGGAGGCAGGTACAGAGGTCATAGAAAACTCTTAGGAAATTGTAAAATTAGCAGCCCCAATGCTCTTGCGGGGAACGGCATTAGAGAAGTTGCTGACTTCCGAATAGCGGTAGCACCAGAAGTTTTCCTTCTTGCCATACAGCCTGTCACAGCCGGAGGATTTTTTTCAACCTGCTCCGCAAAGTTGCCCTCTTGGTGAAGGGACAGTTTCACTCTGTTGTCGTTGCTAAAGAAGATGCGCTTAGTTAGAAACTGTGTGTGTGAAGAAATGACTTCCCACTGCAGCAGTCAATTCTAAGGAAACTTTTAATTTTGTGCTTCAGGAAACCTGATTACTTCTTGGATTGCTTTTCTACCTTGGTTTAGAAGGTATGGTAACACTGCCAGGCATTGTGCAAAGCATTCTGCTTTCAAAATTTTTAGAAGTTAATAATACCGTATCTGAAAATTTTGTAGTGTATGATTGCAAATTACCTCAAAAAGTGATGTTTTGTGGGATGCACGAATTTTTAGACCTGTATGGCCAGTGGCTTAAAGTATTGAAATTGTTGTAGAGGAATATAATGTTATTTCTTTTTACTTTTTTACTTTTTTTCTTTCTTTTTCCTTTTCTTTTCTTTTTTTTTTTCCTTTTACTAAATCTTAGTGCAAGAAGTTGTTTCGAGGACTTTGTGTGGAGGTTAGAAGTTAGGATTTAGAGCCTCTTGACTATGTATTTTTCTTTTCAATATCTGGATGATACCAAGGTTACATTGATATGCATTTACTGTCCAGATGTCCAAACCTTATCCAAATTAAATAAACCAGGAATATAATCCTGGTTATATTTTGTGCATTCATATTAATAACCCCATTTTCTAGACTTTAACAGTTTAGTTTTAAAATTCGAAGCTGTAATGCATTGTAAGGTCCAAATCCTTTAAAAGACAGGCTTTTTTAGTTTCAGTTGACTGCTCACATCAGTTGTAACTCACCCGCACTCTGGTACCGTGGAGTATGACTTGCTGTAAAACGTTATAAATGATCATTGAAATGTAAAGGAAAAGCATATTGATATGTTGCATTTGGAAGTAAGTACTAAAATTCTTTCCAAATACTTGGAAATATTTTATCTGAATCAGCTAAGCAGGGGCATGTTCGGAGTGGCTTGTGGCACTGCTCTCTCACCTTGCTAGTGAATTGCATAGTTTAAGGTGTTTGAAGCCTTACTGAAATAAAAAAATGAAAGGTGCAATGCCTTTAGCTTCTGAATTTTCCAAACAAAATTTTTGCATTTACTTAACTTTGTTTATTCTTTGTTCTCTTTGTTACTGAGGGAAAATGTAAATCCAAAACATGCGAATGGATTTGACCATATTACCATGAAAATTCCCTGTTCATGGTTAATATAACAGTCAATACAGTAGTTGATACTATGTCTCTTTTCTAAAAGGTTTAGTTTCTCCCGTGCATAGACTTCTTTCTAACATTGGCATGGTCTGCTTTGATTTTAATTCATGCTGGTCAAGAAACTCAATTAAAAACCACAAGTTATACTACTTAGAGAGCCTTTTGTCCCCACCCCCTCAATCCTTAGCAAAACTTTACCAAGGTTTAGTTACATGGCTGTGTGCCTTACTTCTTTGTCAAAGCCTTTGACACTGAAGCCTGAAGACATGAGAAACCAAGTACAGACTGTGTGCAAGACCAAGGACTCTTAAAACAGTTCATGTCCTTATGATAGCTGTCTGTAGCAGAACTGCAGTGGGGGGAAGTGTCCAAAATACTGCAGAGCTCTGCACTTTACATAGTTCATATTTCTGTTATCCCAGACTTGCTTCCAGCCTTAAAGATTTTCTCACAAATCTTAGTATTGGTGACTACCCATGTGCTCTTTTTCTTATTTTTCTTTGGGTTTTTTGGTTTGGTTTGGTTTGGTTTGGTTTTTTTTGTAACGTAGGTGAAAATCAGAACATGATATACTGCAAGTTTATGAAAAAATATAAATAAAAAGTATATCCCTAATTAGATGGTAAATTTAAGATAAAAAGCCAAGGAGAAATTAGGTTTACCCACTGAGTGAGAAGACTGATGAGACTAAAGTCAATGGAAGTCCTATGCTGGACAGGATTTCAAACCTAATGCACTGATCCTTGCAAGAGTCTTCTACCTACTGGGTATGGCTTCCAGGGGAAATGACAGGAAGCATAATATGAAATTTTACTGACTGTCCTGATTCAGTCAGGAAGGAGTGATGGACCATAGTATTTGAAGAGGAATCACTAATATCTCTGGGCCGATGTAATGATGGGAAGACAGGGCAGAGGACTTCATGCTCCCAGTAACTGGAGAAACTTAGGTACCGATCCTATGTGCATCCTTTATCCCAGCTGAGTATTTCTCAGGGTGGCTACTTAACTACAAGTGAGAAAAATGCCTTGGTATGTTTTTAGTAGGTCACATACTCCTGAGTTGCATTAGAGAGACAAGCTTGTCATACGCATCAGACTTTCCACCCCAGCTTCCAGCTGCCGATACTCCCTCCATGAACAACACCTTTGTCATTTGTGTTGCATTCAGTGTACCATTAAAAAATGCAACAACCTCCATCTCAGCATTACTGTAGCAGTTTTCCTTTCCCTTGTGGATCTTAATACCAAAAACCTGGTCTGCTTGCCGCTTCCACTGTATAGCAATGCATAAATGTAACTGGATAACCAATCCACGGAGTTTTACAACAATGCAAAATTTCTTTCTCGTCATTAAAATTGGATAACTCCAAAATGAAGCCAAAAATATTTCCAGCCATATTTTATTTGAGCTAAGGTACTTATACTAACACCACAATTTTGCAGAAAACAAGGAAATGGGTCCAGTCTGTATTTCAGCAACAAAACGCGAGGGTATAATGAATCGTATGCTGTTCTGGCAGATCATTTTTGGCAATGTTCTCTTAAAAAGTCCAGAAGATATCGAAAGTCATGGATCACAGCCTAATTGTGTGGCTCTTTGTCAGGAAAAACTTCCATTGAAGGCTTGTGGGATTTTTTTTCTCCTGTTTTATGTGCAAGAAAAGCTGGATCCATAGTAATTTTTGTTTTTTTGGTCAAGATTCACATATGTACTTCATTACATTTTGATCAGTCATTACTTTCTACTACTATTAAATTTAATAGAATTAGACCAAAACAAATCATAATAAAATAGTAGAATTTAGTGTAGCAATAATGGAATCTTTGGAAAATGTTGTCATCCTTATGAGAGTAAAGCAGGATGCAGTGCTGGCTCCCCCGGAATTCCCCTCCCAAGTTACAAACACCACTTTTTTAGGAAGTATAAAATTACTCAGAAAGAAAGAACACTGGGAATACATTATACCAGTTGAGAAGTGGGAGATAAGGACTCTCATCGGTGTTTTCTGGGGCTATAATTCTTTGGGAAGCCTTTTTAAATGCTTGCAACTCAATGCAAGAGTCAAAAGAGGAAAGACCTATTCTTCACTGGTATTATTTCTGTAATCCAAAGATTATTTTTGCTCCCCCCACCTGACACTGGAGTGGAAAAGCATTTAGAGATGCGTGAGAATGCCATATAAGGCAAGGCAGACAACCTCAGTCTTGTCAGCTTTATGGCATTTTTTTAAACAGGTGGCTACTTTAAATAACTTCCACTCATCCAAAGTAGCTGCAGGAGTTTTCTCTCTGCAATGGCTATCCAGCAAAGTAGACTGACTCCATCTGGAAAACTCCCTTCTTCCAAGGTCAACTGTGGCTTGTTGTCCCTTTATCAATCTATATATAAACCTAACTACAACTCAACAAAAACTTTGTTTGCTCCCTAAATTTAAACAGAATTATGTTTCCCCCTTAAGGTATGTTGCAATGCATCTTTATTAAAAACCCAACAACTTCTGCCTCACCCTTCTCCTTCAGAACACAGCTTCCTCCATGCTTTAAGGTGGTGAACAGGAAGAGAACAGCGTTTTTTTGCACTAAGCAGTTTGCCACCAGCACTGTGGTGGCTGCAAAAGTAGGTCTTAGTTCTGAAAAGATACATGCATGTTCTCAGCTTTGTTTGTACCATTGCAAATCTTGGGGATAGAACCATGCAGGATTGGGAACTGCATGGCACTATCATGCTTCCTGTGTAAATGCTTCCAAAGGCCATTCAGACTGCAGGTTTGGATGAGCAGTCACATTGAAATCATCGTATTTTTTAAGCCATGGGAACTGTCCACTTCTCTTGCTTATTTTGCTTATTTCATGTGAAAGATTTACATTTCTTCTTCTGATCCCACTTGTTCTAGCTCTCTCCGTGAAAGAGAAACTTGCTCTGTAAGAGAGATCAGATTCCCCACTGAATTGCTTCATTTTTCTGCTTGTTTCAACTCACTGAGAACAGCATAGCAATTGCAGTATAAAACTGGAATTGACCATAACAGATTAGACTCAGAATATTTTCAAAAGCAGAGTGAGTTAACTAAAATATGTAGTGTGGAGGAATTTGCTAACTAATTTGCTTTCATTTTAGGAATTATTTTTAGGTTTATTTAAGGATAAAAAAAAAAAAATCACACCAATCACTAATGTGCTTATTCAGGCTGGTAATGTCCTTTAATAATCTGTAACAGCCTGAACAGTTTGAAGGGAAATTAGGAAGCAACTCGGTGATCACGAAGCACACTGATCATGAAGCATACTGAAACCTATAATTTGGACAAATTGACTACTGATATATTGTAGAGTATACTTGGCAATAGCAATTCTCTACATAAAGAGGTGCTTTTATGTTCTCTCTATTGCATATTTAGATACACTGTGGTAAAGACATCCTACGCTTTTTAAATCAGATAAATAGATATATACAAAAAGCACAGTTCTTCGTCTGCTGTTTACCTTCCCTTGAGTGAGAGCTCTGGTAGAATATCCAAGAGCTCTATTTGGCCACTTGAGAACATGCTGTGTTCTTAGATTGAGTGCCTTAATTTGCACCCTTCACCTTTTATAGTTGCTTTGTTTATAAGATGGAAGTGTGTGCATTTTCTTTGTCCTGGTGAATTTATTCCACTTTTCTGCTTGATTTTTAGTGAATAAAGGTGACAGGGTTTAATGAGTTAATAAAACTTGCCCTTAATTAGGAAAATTACCTTCATATTTTTCTCATATTGTGGAAACAATTTATAATTACTCTGGTTGCAATTCAAAAACTTGAAGGAAGAACTTTTTTAATATTTGCAATGGTATCAAGTCCGGTAATTTGCACACAAAGTCAATAAAAGAATGGAATTTTTATTATCTCCTTTAGCAATTAATTGTTACATGAATATAGCTCAAGCAGAGAAAATCCTAGGAGGAGCACATATGGAAAACACATATATGATGCAAGATGCA